AAATTATATAATAAAAATTAAGAATTTTTTATTTATCATTTAGAATTGTAAAACTTTTACTTGTAAAATAAATAATTAAATATTTCTTGTAATTAATAAACCAGATAAAAAAATTTATATATGTAATAATTAAAAAGAAATATATTATACAATGATTTGATGTAAAATTTTATAATCAGTAATATATAAAAATAATATATGAAGGTTTATATTAATTAAAATTTATTTTTTTATAAAGTTAAACTTAATTTCATTTAAAAACAAATAATAATATTTATGTAATTGTCAACAGTATATAAAATTTAAACCAAAAGTCATATATATAAGTTATACTAAAAATAGAAAATTAATATATATATTATATAGTATTTCCATTTTAAAATAATTTATCAATTTTTAGTAATTATTTATGTGCATTTTATATTGTATAATATATGCATAAAAAATTTAATATACACATATATATTATACATGTGAATTTTACATACTGGTTATCAAATTTTTTGATTAAATTAGAAGTAGATTCAATAGAAAAAGTATAAATTTTCTTTTTTATCTATCATCATTTACATTATTTATTATTATTTATTATTATTATTATCATCACTTATCACAATAATTATCAATATTAATTTTTCTATTATTATTAATTATCAGAAATAATTTTAAAAACAAATTTATTATTAATATAATAAAATCAATAATCATAATTTTTATAGTAATTAATTAATTAATTTCTTATAATTAATTACTATTTTCTAATTAATTATTATTCTATAATTAATTATCAGCTTATAATTAATTATATAATTAATTATATATTATATATTAAAAATTATACATTACATTTAGATAAAATATTTATCATGATATTGTTAATATGCAATCCTTACAAATTGTAACAGTTAGATAGAGTGTTAAGGATTATTCTTTTTAAATCTATATAGTAAAATATGTATTTATACCAAATAATTTATACTAAGTATAAATATTTACATAAAAATACTTGTTATTGAAATATTATATAATTGATAATTTATGATAAAAATAGTTTATTGATAAAATATAAAAAAATGTAAAAAGAAAAAAATAAATAAAGAAATAAAGAAATTATTTAATAGAAGTTAAAATATAATAAATAAAATTTAGCATTGCTTAATAGTCTAAATGTATGTGAACTACTAAGAATAATTCTACTAAATATATCTGAATCTGGATTTAGATCTACTTGAAAAGTTTAAATAATTAAGTTCTATATATTTTCAAATATATAAATAATATATTAATTATCTCAACTTTTTCAACTATATTAATAATTTCAACTATTTTAATTATTTTAATTAAATTACTATAATAAATATGTCTGAAATATTAATCATATTTAATTATATTAATTATGTCATTATTTAAATATTTAAATTATACTATGTAGATTAATCACATTTTGATTATCTAGTTAAAATATATATAATATCTGTATTTTATTTTATTTTATTATTATATTATATTTGAAGTTATAAATATAATTAGTTTATAATATAGCAAAATAATTAGCTATAATAAATTAATTTTATATAAATAAAGTAATCTTTTGCTCAAATTATAAATTAACTCTTTTGTAGATTTTAAGTTATTAATAAAGAAATTAGTTAAATTTATAAGTATTACTTTTACCTTTATCATTATTTTTCATTTAAAATTTGATTATGTTAATTTGCTTTTGTATTTATTATTGAGTTTAATTAAATAAATCCTAAGTTTTAAGATGTTATCACCATGAAATTCTTCAACTCAAATTGATTATGACTTTAGTTCTACTTAAGATTATTAACTATAAATAAGACATTAAAATCTACCTAACTTTTAACTTTATCAAATTTACATGTTAAACTTAACAAATCTGTCAAGTATAAAGACTTGAAAGATAACAAATTTAATTAAAGAATTCAAATAATGAACTCAATTACAAATACAGTTAACTCTTATTATAATGAACTCTATGTCCTAGACCTCAACTTTGCTATAAGGCTATAGTGAAAATTTTAAGAGATTTGATTAACCAATTCGCTATAATAAGAGTATTTTTATTATATTTATTCAAAAAATTCGTTATATCAAAAGTTCGTTATATCAAGAGTTGACTGTAATGTATAAAAATCACATCAGATTATATGAAGATATAAAAAGATAAAAAAATATAAATTTTAATTGATTTTTTTATAAATATTGAAATTCGTATTTGCAAAAGAGTTTACAAATTTGCAAAAGAGTTAATTTACAATATAAGCAAAAAGTTTATCTATTTATATAAAATTTTTTTTATTATAGTTAACTAATTATTATGTTATAAACTAACTAATTTGACAAATAAAATATAAGTAAATTAAATATACTAAAAATAATAAAAATATATAATAAAATAAAATAATAATAAAAAGTAAAATATTAAGAATAAATATAAATTAAATTTGTTTAATTTGTAAATTAGAATTATCATTAATATTTGAAAAATTAGCAGAATTATATAGATTCTCTATATTTTAGAATTCTAAATTAAAAGATCATTATACTGCATTATCTATGTAATTTCATTACTATTGGTTAATTATTTCACTAATAATATATAAATTGCAAAATTAATTTAAGTATAATGAATATCAGTAAGACTTAAAGAACTTATTAAAGTTATAAACTCTAATATGTAAAATTAATTACTGTAATCCTTTTAATTTAAATATTAAATTAACTGAAACTATACTTGATGACACTAAATATTAATAGTAAAATTAGCAAAATTATGTTAAAATATTAATAAAAAATCTACAAAATTTAGAATAAGGTAAAATTATATCAAAATCAAAATTTATAAAAATAGCAAAACTTAAAAACTTAATAAGAAATTAATAATATTAAAGGTTTAGATATTTGTTAAATTTAAAATAAGTTTAGATAAGCAATCTTAGTTGTTACCAATTGAATTAAAAATATTGATTTCTATTTAAATTTTATTTTTTACTTTTATTTGAAGCATAATAAAAAAATATTATGTATACTTAAGATCATGTAATATTTGTCTATCACTATGTGAAAATGCTCAATTAAATTTTGGAATCAGGTATATCAATATTTGCATGATCAGATAAAAAATTAATTACATTAAATTGTTTTTTGTTTTTTTATTTCAGATAACAGTTTCTATTTTCTAGTAAATAAAAAATTATTATATATTATCAGTAGTAATCAGCATCAGTATCACATAATTTTCATATATGAATAATTTGTTACACTTTTCACATTTTATTTTTACTATATATTCTGGAAATAAAATGTAAAATTATATTTATTATATATTATTTGTTATGCTTTAATTTCAGCCAAAATTTATAATGCCAGCTAAAATATCTTTTAAAAGGTTAGATAACATTATATAATTTCAAAAAGGTAACTTTAATTTTAACAAAAATTCAAATTAAATTATACAAACCCCTAAAAAAGAAAATTTGTAATACTGGTACTAGTAATAAATTTTAATAATAAGAATTTAAAAAGAAAATTATACAATAAAAAACTTATTTTTAATATTATAACTCAATATTAGAAATCAAATATAATTCTAATAAATTTAAAAAGAATTGGTAATTCTATTACTTTATTTGATTTAATTCTATTTTATTTAAGGATTTAATATTTATTATTTTATTTTTTATAATAATTTATCTAAATATATCTTTTAATTCTTATATTATTATATATATTTTTTTTTATAAAATATTTCTGTATATATATATTTAGAATATATATAAAAAAAAATAATTAAATTAAATGTTTAGAAAATATATATAACAAAATTTTTATAAGCTATTTTATAATATTTAAAATTTGCAAAATTATATAATTAAATTTAAATCAAAATCAAAAAGTAAAATATTAAAATTATATTTAACAAAAAATAGATTTTTTTGATTATAAGAATTTGAATAAAATTCTTTTAAAAAAAAAATAAATAAAAGTCAAATAAATTCTCATTTTGTAAAAGAATTAATTATAATTAAAGTATCATATTTTTTATTTTTTCATTATTTTTTTTATATATAAAATATAAAGCTACCTATAATAAATGGATTCTTGAAAAATTGGATTGTATTTATTATAAATTAGAAAGCATAATTGGTATATAAAATTTTGGTCCTTCCGGGTAATTTTTTCACCTACTATACTAATTTCAGCTTTAACAAAATTGGAATTTCTATGTAACCCGAAAAATTTTGATAAATAAAATTTTTAATGCCTTTTATTTTTTATATTATAAAATTTGGGATGGTAATATTATCTTTGCAAATTTTTTTTTTAAAAAAAAATAAAAATAAAAATAAAAATAAAATATAAATATAAAATAATGAGTGAACAAGATGATGAAAATAAAACAAAAAAAAAAAAAAAAAAAAAAGGTAAAAATAAAAATATTATTTATATATATATAAAAAAGAATATAATAAAAATAAAAAAATACAATGATTTGTCTATTCTGTACAAAAAGGAATAAAGGCAACAAAAAACTAGGAAGTGGTAGAATAAAAAAGAAAATATACAATTCTATCTATCTGTACAAAAAAGAAGTCTAAGGAAAAAAAAAAATGAAATCGGACTAATGCGATAAATTAGTACATTGAGTTTTTAAAGATAAAAAAAAAGTATTGTGGCTATTTATACAGATGATGCTTATTAATGTGAATGTTTGATTATTTTTTGGGGGATATATAAATAAATGTGATTAATTGGGTTCAAAAAGTTAAGATAAATGATGTCGAGATGATTATTCAGGACTGAAAATGCAAATGCAACGAATTGGATAATATTGTACCACCTATTAACAAATTAAACTGTCATATCTAAAGTAAGGATACCTACCAATAACAGTTGAAGTGTTCAGACAATATACTCCAGGACACAATTAGTAATCGGGATTCCGCAAGCAGGAATCAGAAAATGCTTCAAAGAAATCATTCTTGGAACATTTTTCCGGAGGACTCTAACTGATGTTCAGGAAAGTAAATGGTAGGTGGTACGAATAATGCGGTAATAAAGTATGGATTCAAATAAGAATCCAAAACCTTAAGCAAACATGCTTTACAAATGGAACGATTATTGAATGCTACAGCATAATATGCTAGTGCTTGTTTCATTGTTGCAATAATCTGAATTATTATCATGATTGTTTGTAATGGATCCTCGATTGCTTCTTGTAAAAAATGACCATACAGATCTTCGCCTTGAATGCCCTCCAGTTTGTTGAATTATGGGCGCATCGGATGCCCCGGTTGTGCTAAGTACATCTGAATGTGCCTCAGATCCTGGACCATCGAGCAAATTCGGAATAGGTCGCAAATATGATAAAGATGATTGATGTTGCATGATTCTTGCAGCGGGAACGGCAACTATAGGGGAATTTTGACGACTGTCCAAACTCACTATCAAAAAAAAAAAAAAAATTTAATTTTTATCCTTATTTTTTTTTTTTTTTTTAAAAAAAAAAAAACAAAAGCAAAAATTATAAGGGCATTGGTGAATTTGCTTACCAATAACCCCAGAGTCATTACCGGAGCTATTATGTCTTGATGGACGATTATCCGTACCAGCATTTTTCTTTTTATCACTCCATGTTTTTCGATTTGATTCAAGAAAAGTAACGGTGAAATTCATTTCTATTATATAATAAAAAATTATTTATCCAAAATTATTTTTTTTTTTTTTTAAAAAAAAAAATCCGGGGGGGGGTTTAAATATATTAAATACCTGGGATAAGTTCACTAACGCTTTGAAAGAGCGGCATCGCACATGCGTTTATGAAATCTATCTGAGAATCAGTTTGTGATGTATTTCTGTCATTTAATGGGCCAACAGGTATTCCCAGTTTTCTCTCTAAATCCCCTTGACATGAGCATTCTTGCAACAGAACATTAGACCATGATTCAGCAATATGATATGGTCTCGCTGTATTGCTAATATCAGCACATTTTATTAACGCTCCAACGATTATAGATTTTTCTTCTTCCACTTTTGAAAGTTCAAAATTTGGTGATTCAAATCTCAACCGTTGCCCCTTAATGTCTTTCACATAATTGAAATGTAATTGCATGTCTGTTGCTAGAATTGCATTCACGACTACCTTTCGAAATTCTAATAATGAAGGAAAAAGGCTATATTTTAATATAAATCAAAAATTAATTACACCAACTTGTACAAATTATTACCTGAATATTTTAAGCAATTATCGTAAATTTTAAATCCGTATTTTTGCATTAAATTAAACAAAGTCATCACATGAAAATTTTCTAAAACGGATTTGTCATTATATATTTGAGCCAATGGGGTCCTAGTATTCACCAAGAAACCATTATTAACGCCTGGATGACCAACATCATGACCGATAGAAGCCAGCAACAATGCAAACGCATCAGAATCTCTCAACAAATCATTAGGACGATAGCGCTGTTGATTACAACTATTACCCCGTCGTTTATATCCAACCGAGAAGAAAGTTGGTATTAAATCCATTTCACATAAAAAGTAAAACATTGCTTGAAGAACATCCACAGCATGGGTGAAATTATGATACGGGTTACTATCGTGATATGCTTGTCGAATTGCTAAGAGAAATCTATGCAATTGTTCTATGTAAGATAATAAATAAATATAAATTTCATTAAAATATATGTATATATTTATTTATTTATTAAATAAAAATAAATAAATCAAATAAAGCAAAATTAAGTAAAAATTAAAATAAAAATTTCATACCAGTTGATACATTCAAATCTTTTAGTTCATCAAGTTCCATGGCGTGTTCAAAAATAATTACGACACATCTCAATAAATCATCATCAGATAAATTATGTGAATCAAATTCCCACTCTGTAAGCATTTTTTTGAGTTGATTAGTTCTCTCTATTTCCGCAGCAGAATTCAATCTAATTATATAAATATTGTTAAAGGTCTATGTTTAATTTATCTGTAGCATATCATACCACAAAATAATATAATAGAGCAATACCTTGGGAAATATGAGAGATCTATTGAAGATAATGGCGTGTAATATTGAATAATGGTATCATTTAGCCTAAAATATTAAAGGATAAATGAATGGTTAAAAATTTTCTTTTTGGTATCTTCATATATATTTAGAGAACTATTTTCTTGTCCAACACGCACCATTTATCCTTTACAAATATCTCATCAAGCCTTTCCCTAAAATTTAAACTTCTCCGTATTAAATGACGAGGATATTCTAATCGATGTATATGCTATAACAATAAACAAAGGATAAAACAAACAATTAATCAAACTGAAAAATATATAATTAAATAATATAATTAAAGGCAGTATCAAATAGCAACAAATACCAAAAACATAGTCTTTGCAACTTCCGGTCTTATTGGCTTTAATAAATAATCTGCGGCTCCTTTCTTTAAACAATCCAACATGAATTCCGAATTTTCATTAAACGAGCAAACTAAATAAAATGAATGATAGAATTTTTATAAACTTTCTCAAACATAATATTTTTTTTTTTTTTTAAAAAAAAAAAAAGACTTGTGACTTACCTATTGGAATTACTTGTTCCAAAGCACCTCTTGAAATTTCCAAAGTAATATACCTTAATAACTCTAAACCATATAAAGTATCTTTTGTAGTATGTATTTCAGCGAGAGAAACGCCATCCGTCATGGCTAAAAATGACTCCCTCCTTGCATATGTATCCCGACTAATACTTTCAGTATGATCAATATCTATCAATATAATAGTAGGAGGACATCCCACCTTTCTATTTTTCAATTCGCTCAAAGCTTTTGTTCCGGATGGTACAGTGATGACTGTTAATAATGATAGAATGAAAGAATCTAATTAATTCATTTGAAATTTTCTGGAACTGTGAAAAAATATTACACACAAAGTGTATACCACCCAAGTCAGTAAGACTTTTTCTGATGGTACGAAGGAGTTAAATAAGGACGGATACTAAGCTCCTACGGTGAAAACCAAGGTAAATATATAGAAATATATATATACAATAATTTACTTTGTTTTCACCAAAACAAAAAAAAAAAAAAAGGAAAAAAAAAGGTCCCATAAAAAAATTCAACTAGTCTACACATTTTAATACACATACTATTTAATTGTTCCTCCAAATCATCATAAAAATTCGATCCGAAAATATATTTAAAAATCATGTATAAATTAAATTTGACACACATATAAATATTATTATTATTATTATTATTATTATTATAATGCACCCAATTAAATAATTTTCATGTTCAATCCTTTATCTTTATCCTAAGGGAAATAATCATAGTAATTTTAATAAATTAATAAAATCTTTTACTATACCTTCGGCAAAAATTGTCAAGAATGTTTTGATCAAAGCATCAATATCTTGATTATTGTTCACTTCGCAAGTGCACCTGTCACCGCTAGGAGCTTTGAACGAATTTGAAGAGCATAAGTTAACTGAATCTGAGGGTTGATATTTTTGTTCAATACATGAACGATCAACCACTAGAACCGAGCAACGATTTGGCTCCATGAACAGTGGGGACAGAACAGAATCTGTCGGAGTAACTGGTACAAGATTGGGAGCCAGCGGAATGAATTTAAATGAATTTGTTTAGAGAATAAAAAAGGGAAATCTAAATTTAAAAAGAAATCTATCTATATATGTATATATTTGATACTTTAATTCTATACTTTTTATTTTTGAGAGTGTTATGAGTAAAAAGTGTTGTTAATGAATGCAAAGGTTATTATGTATTTACAAAAACTTCAAAATTACAGTTGTGTTATGCCAAGAACTTCTATAAGAAACAGTAAAAAGTGTATGGTGTGTGGTGCTTCTCTGTGCGGTTATATGCGTTATTTGTATACAACCGTATATTGGTTACAAAGTATGTATGAAGTGCGCGACTTTCATATAAACACCAAAGAATTAGAAGCCGTGAAGGAATCCTCTTGAGAGAAAAAAAAATAGTAATTGCAAATAAAAAAGAGAAATATAAAATGAATTCTATACCAAACGTCTAATGTTAATAATTTTTTCTCTAAAAACAATTCTTTTAAAAAGGAAAAAAAAAAAAAAAAAAAAGTCTAAGAAAAATAAATAATAAGTTGAAAGTTTAAAAAAAAAAAAAAAAAAAGAAAGTTGGTTTTGTCAATTCGACTAATAGATGAGAAAAATAAAAAAATAAAAATTTAGTCAATTGTTCTCCATTAGATAATTTTTTTTCAATATTTATCAAGAGTTATAGAATATGGACAGTGCTTACAGTTGGAAACTGCAGCAACTTGTATATAATTAGTATCATAAACTCACCCAAAATTGATTTATTTAGATTACTCAAATTATTTAGATTACTCAAACAACGTGCATAATATAAATAATTGATTAATTTATTTATATTATCTAATTTAAACGATTGAACACCCAAACTTACCGAACTAAAAATATATTAAATTCTTGATTCTTGAATTGTGATATTGTTACTCCAACAAATATTTTACTAATGAAAAGAGGGAGTGAGATAAAAATAAAAAATAAAATAAAACACAAGAACCATACGCGCAAGTAATCATCAAACTGTGATCAAAACCTCCTGAAGTTTTATTAACTGCGTGGAAGCCATGGAGGAGACCGTTGATCGTAGCTTCTATCATTGATTGTCGTGGTATTTCATAACAAGTTAAACAAGTTAAATTAGTATTTTGAAGGGGTAAAGGAGGATGAAAAGGTGAATACATGCTAAGCAAAATAACTGGGATCACCCCTGTAATAACTGCCAATGTATCAGTTTTTACTATGAAGATAACGTTAAAATCGGCGTAATTTTTTTGAATGATCTTTTTTTTTTCAAAGGTCCAAATTTAGTCAAGGAATGGTTGATGTTTTGGTGAGTTCCTTTGTTTCTTCAAAAAATAAGAATGTGATAAAAAAAAGTGACTTCAATTAAAAGGATTGGAGGGAAAATATTTCTAATATTCCCCACAATGCCGTGACCGTCAAATAAGAGAGCAGATAAAAAAAAAAGAAAAAAAAAATATTATTAAATAATAAATAATTGGCATTCTAGGGTAAAAATGACAATACGTTTAATAATTGTATTATCAATTTAGATAAGAATAAATTTAGATGAAGGGCGTTATGGAATTACTAAAAGAGAAGTTAAAGCATGACCTTTAATTGAACACAAGGTGACAAAATCCTTTTTATTTTTAAAAAAAAAAACTATATCTAGGGTTATTTTTTCTCCTTTGCTACACGAAGAAATCTTGACAAGGTAATTTGTGGAGAAGACAGGATTTGGAACAGGATTTAACTCATTTCTGGTTTTTTATTGTTGTTTGTTCATGTTGTGTTTGGCAAAAATGATGGGGTTTTCAACTAAAACTTTTTTTGCTTAGTCAATTTTGGGGAAGGACCCTTAAACAAAGGAACAATCAAATCGCGTGGAATCATATTTCCGCGAACAGTTTATGGGTGGTTGATTACTGCGCCTTTTTGTCTTTCAGTTTCTTTGTTTTCGAATATTTCCACTTTTGGATTCGCTGCTTGCTGCACATAGGCAAAGGCTTATCAAAAAATAACCGTATCAGATGAATACTTACTGCGTCGTGCCATCCTACTTTTTTCCGTTCGGTATGACAATATTTCGGAATGTGGATCTTAACCAGTTTTAAAAAACTTTTAATAAACGTTCAAACAATATCTGAGGGAAAAAAAAAAAAAAAAAATTGATTGGAATTGTACATTCTTTATAAAATCAAAAAGAAAATTTTTTGAATCATTTTTTTATTTTTGACCGAAACCTTTTGGTAAAATGATTGGCCCGATAAATATTGTGATCACTTTGGCATGTGTTGTTGGTTAAAAATATGCAAATTATTCACCATTTGGCGTTCTCTCTCCTTTTCAATGATTCTGTTGATTTTCTTTGTTAATTTTTTTTCGAAAGTTAGTAATATTTTTATATCGGGAGAATTATTGTGCTGATGGTTAAAGCATAATGCAAAGTGTAACAAATTTTGTAGCTTTAATTATCTTATTTTTATTTTTAGCTTTGTTACTATGTTTTGCATGCATCGGAAAAGGGTTATTGTTTGATTGGTACCATATGTCCATAATATCAATTCGAAAAAAATTTTAGAATGGTGTTGTTTTCATCTCAATATCCAATAAAATTCGATTGTTGAATTTGTATATCAATTTAGCCACATGGGCGTCTCTCCTAATTCCTTTGACATCATCATCATCTCCAACCCCCCCCCCCCCATTTGACAAATTCATCTCTTATTTGTAAAAAATGTGAAAATGTTAATGGTTTCGGTTGATCTTATTTCTGACATTTTATAATTCGCCTAAAAAAGAATGTGTTAATAAATTTCAAATGTACGTGATAGTTTTGCGTAACTAAATAATACCATTATTTTTTGAAGTACAGTTTTTCCAAAAATAATTTTTTCCGTTACTAATGATGATTCCTTTTTTTCTTTTCGGCGTTTTCGGTCTTTGCCTAATGGATCTGATCACGCAATATGCCGATGAATTTCTCCGCAACTTTTTCGCGTGGCTTTTTCATGATCAAAATGACTCCATCTGAATTTGATCAGGAGAAAAAAAAAATTTATCTAGTAAATTTCTCTTTTTAGTACAAGCCATTACATAAATGGCACACACAATGATAAACAAATAACAAATATGCAATGTGCTTAATTGCTTAATTGAACTTTGATGAAATATTATTACATCAGTCGTTAAATTTTACGCCTAAACTTGCTAAAAAAAAAAAAGGATCTGCATGAAATATTTTTTTTTTTCGTCAAAAAAGGAATGGCTAAACAAAAACTTGACAATTATGTCGCTAAAATTATTCGAATTTTAGGTTATGATGATGTATTTGATGGTCACTTAGAAAGGGGAGCGTGTCCGATTTGTTCTATAAAGTTGAGTTCAATGTGAAAAGCACAATGCCTTTTAGTTGCCATCATGATGTTGGAAGAGCATTCTAGCAAATCTATATGTATGCTATACTAGAGGTCGCAAAAAAAAGATGGAAGAAGAATAAGGTTGATTTTTTAACAATTACTATTTCAAAATATTAAAAGTGCTTATTTTCTTAACGTCAAATTCAAATCGTTCCGTTGATTTGCTAGCCATAGAAAGTTAAGAGATTACCTTTAATGCCTTATATGATATAAATATTTTATTTTTTTTTTTTGGTAACAATTACAAATGCATGATACGGAATTGAATCTAACGATCTAGAAAAGAAACAATTAATTAGCATCGCATCGTATGCATCGGTTGCATAGTAGTTTAAATCATTTTTGTTTAAATTAAATCAGATCGTAATGTTCTGGTTGGAATAGCAAAAGTTCGTTAGAATTACTATCTGACAATTAGTTCGGTTGATCCTATCCTGTGTATAATCAGAAAATGAATAGTATTTGATATTCTAATATGAACGCGATTTTAGGATTTTATATAGTTTATATATTCAATTCACATGATAATAACCTAAAAAAGATAAAAAAGATAAATTTGATTTTAGTATTTTTTATGATAATTATTTATTAGAGAATTCTGATAAATTATTCTTATTATTTATTAAAATACTGATATTATCAAACTAATTTTTAATTGTATTTCTTTCTTAAAGTTATTATCAAAAGTTGAATCTATTAATCTAAATTTAATTTTAAAATATTTTTATTAATATTTGAAATTTAAATTTATTAAATTATATCATAATATTAAAAATACTCATCTAAATTATTTTTTGATACAATAAATATAACTTAATATTTTTTTTAATATATTATAAATATTAGGTTATATTTCTTGTTTAATAAAATAAATACAAATATAATTTTATTTATTAAAGAATATAAATAAAAATAATATAATAGAATTACAATAAATTTAAATGGTTTATAACTTTAAAATAATTTGATTTACAGAATTTCTTAATATTTTGTTAAATATTATTAAATAATAAAAATAATAAAAATATAAATAAATAATAAGAAAAATAATTTTAATAATTTATTTATAATTTACTATACATAATTTGATATTATTATTTATATACTTAAATTAAACTTAATATAATTATCAAATAAAACTAATAATTTTAAATATAAATTATAAGTAATAATTTTTAAAAAAAATCTTATTTAGAATAATAATTACTAATCAAATTATATTACCAAATAAAAAGTTTAATAATATAAAAGTAAAGATTTAATTAATATTATTTAATAGTAAATATATAAAAAATTATTAAATGAATTTATATTTAATATATATTATTATCAAGTTTATTTTCTTTATTTTAAACATTTAAATTAGAACTTCATAATAATTAATTCTATTTGTTAGATTTTATAATCTTAAAGTATTTTATTATTCTATAAATATTTAAAATTCTTAAATCAATTTTACATTTATATAAATTAAATTTTAAAATTTAATTGAATTTAGTAAATGTTAAAAAAAAAGTATATATAAGACCTTTATAATAAAAAAGAAGAAAA